TCTTCGTAGGGTGGTAAGATTGTTGCGCTGTTGATACTGGACTCCATCATCATGTTGTTGAGGGTGCTGAGGTTCTGTTGTGCTTTCTTCGAGATTTTATTTGAAATGGGTATACATGTGAAGAGGATCTTGGAGTTTGGGAAGGTTTTGTTGGCTGTGGCGATTAATTTCTGGGCTTGGTTAAAGGAGGTCTTTGGTATCTGATCACGGTTGTTGAGGCCTACATGAAGAATAATGGTAGTAGGTTTGGGATCATGGTCGTATGATTCCAGGATTGACTGTATGTGATGGATTTGGGCACCGGGGTAAGAATGTATTTCGCCGTGACACAGGTGATTTTTTTCATCAACAAGGGGATTCATGACTATTCTATGAAATACTTATTTTTTCAAGGTAAAAATCCCATAATGAATCGTTATCGAAGCAAGAGAGAAAAATTATTCATAAGTTTAAGAAAATGAAATATAATGAATGGAGTTTTACGTCCTACTTAGAAGTTTAAGAAGGGAACTAATAATAAATATTTTCTGTAAGTTTATGTAAAAAATTTCGCTTATCTGAATGTAGCTCATACATGTTGAGCAGCTTTGACGGGTGTGCCGCCAGTTAGGGTATGCTTACTCTTGTAGACACTAGATACCACTTTTCATGATGAAATCACTTAAGATTGATATACTTCCTCATGTGAAAAGTTCATTGACTGCTACTAATGTTTCGCCAGTATGTTGTTTGGGTTTCGTTTCGGATCGTCAATACTTGGTTTACTTATTTATAAATCATCTATAGCCTTCTTTTCGGTTATTTAAATTTAATCGATTCCTTTACGTGAATTCGAATATCAGTTAAAAAATATTGAAGCTAGTTTTTATTTTGCTTCTGGAGATTTCACTCCATTGACTGGAAAGGTTCTTTTGCTTTGGCTATCCGACAATACTTCACGGTTACAAAGAAACTATATGGCCTACATGACATGTTTTGATTGGTTAAAAATAACGTCATCAGAACAGGACTGTCGTAGGAAACTTGCTAGACTACAGTGTAGACGAAAAATGTCAGAAAAAAAGAAACTGGGTTGAAATCTAAGATTTATTAGAAAGGATAAGTTCGACTTGATTCTGAAACCTTAGCTGAAAACTGTAAAAGCTGTATGTAAAGTTGAAAAAGCTAAAATATTTTTATACCACACCGTCTTCTAGATACATTATGCCATTAGTATTCACTATAAGAACTTAAATGGACAATTAACCCAACACCATAGTTACACCAGATGTCGATTATAAAGTAATAAAATAGTAATTTAAAAATGTAGACTATATAATGAAGGAATATAGGTGAACGAACTAATCACCATTTTTAATGTTCTTTAAAGGGATTGTAAAGGAGTTTTATTGTGTGTATTGGGGACATTGATAGCATCAATTTCCACCATTCAAATTTTCAATCAGACGTCTGTGGTAGAATGGCAAGAACCATTGTCGGATTGAATCCAATACTACTATCATTGTTTCAATGGCTGTATTGATGATGATGAAAAACAGACGTTTTAATTAAACTTTTCATATTGATTGAACTAAATCGCATTTTAGATTAAAATTGTGTGAAGATACTACAATGATAACTCACTTCCTTCCGGTAGGTTGTGTCAATGACGTTATACGGTGGCCGTAGAAATTGTTCTTGACAATCAGAAGCATAAATAATAGTGGAGAAAAATGGAGGGAGTGTTAGTTAGTAAATCAAATCAATGTTAGAAATAGAAAAGGGTCAATTTAAAAATTGAAGAAATTAATCACCGCCTTAAGAATATCAAGTACTATAAATTACTGTGACCAAATTTAATGTCATGAACTTTGGACAATAAAACATATGGTATTGTTCACGATAGGGTATATTGTGTTTTCTTATGAAGTAGATAAAACCAATAGTAAATCAATATACCGGTTGCACATTTGCACGGATTATTCTTAGCTACTTTTAAGTCCCTCTTAATCAATATATCATAGCCAAAACAACTGTGTTAATCTTTTCAAAGCTTTTGGTATTCTTTTTAATTTCATAAAGGGACAGATGTGCCTTCAGATCCATGTGTCCAGACTTATTCGCGTATGAATGTTTTGCGATATATATAAAAGACATATATAGAAATAGTGAGTAAAATTTCTAGTTTGAGATATTTTGAAGGAATTGTGCGAATTATGCTTCATACATGTCCAGTACTTCTGAAAACTATTTACATATATTCAAGACTCAAATCAACCCCACAAAATATCACACCTGTGCCTTTAAAGAGTAATAAACGATACAGTAATGGACCATAATTATGATTTAAATTTGGAAAATCGATGCTTTCAGGTGGATCAAACGAAGCAATTCATCTGCCTTTCTGTCCGAGTAACCCAAGACAGACTGAAGAAGATGCTCTGAAGCTGGCTTTTTACCTGGCCACTTTACCATGGCGCATGTGAAACGCTTGGGCTACTCATAATCGGCTTCTGTCGCCCAAATCGTGGTCCCATCTCCATGTCATCGTACTAATATTGAATCAACGGCAGGAGTGCAAGTCCAAAAAAGGCAATGGGCGTACCGTAATCCAGCTTAGAATTGAGATTGATCATTTCAAAAGGAGATCGAAATCAATAGTTTATTTGAGACTTTTCATAGTCTATTAAACCATAATTACAAACATATTTAAAAATCACCCAGATGTTGCCCCCATTCTTCCCAAACATACCTATAGAAATCTGTGACAGATGTCAGTTGTTTGTCAATCAGAAAACTAGAAGAGTAGATATAGCCATTATTTCAAACTTCAAAATCAGGTATACAAGGAAGAGGCTTCTATGAAAGTTATTAAAAATGGAATGATCTGAAAAGCTTAACTCCACCAACTCATTTAAATTACAATTCAGTTGTATATATCAACATCGGATCAACATTTTTTACGCATTATATTCAATTAGGTCGTACTTTGGCTCAGTCAATAGTAATTAACTACTTATCCCAGATGCATAATACAGTCGTCAAAATTGAACCAATTTACATTATTTTGGAATAAGTCACGGGAAAAACCTGAAACCGACCATCTTGTGAAATTACGTCAATCAACATTATTCATGATTTCACTTATGGTCATTTGCATACCCATACACCCTCTTACCAGCACAATCTGAGCAAACGGACAGACATTCCTCCCGACAACCACATGGTGAATCACAGGACCTACAAGCCGGCCAGCATATTGTGAACTAGAATCTGGCGGAACACAATTTACACCCACATTACGATGTAGATGTATACAATTGTGCGCCCTGGGTTCCTTTACTACCCACATTATATTGTTAAATAGCCTGACATATTTCCGTTTATATGTGGTCAGAAGGTGGTCGAGTTAATGATCAAGATAAATACGAGAAAAACTATGGATATTGTCTACGTGGAATCTCGAATCCTTTAAGGGACATTTTGTTATTTTCGTAGGTCGAAAATTATTTTTATTCAAGTTTATGAAAACTACACACCAAAATCTAGAGAAAAGGTTCAACTAAAAAAAATCTGCTATTAGTTTTTTAATGCCAAAAGGCTTACGTAATTTTTTTTTCAATTTGTTCTGCTTTTGAATAGGTGTTAAAAAAACAACTGTTCGGATTTGAGCAAAATATACGCTTAATTGTAGAGAAATATGTCTCCTCCATGTTCATTAGATTTTCAACAACAATTATTGAGTTTTCATAAACCCAACCCCACAACATGTTTAAGCTGTGTACTAAACAAATTTAGTTAGATCAAGTAGATACAACATATAAAGTAAATAGCACACTTTAGAAATATTTTTTACTAAGTATTTAAAATCTAATTCGACTCTAAAATGGGAAGAATTTGAACGTTTTTTAACAAATAATGTACAGGCGATTGATCATTGGGAAAGAATTCGGTCTGGCAGCAGATGTCAAGACATTTCTCGAATCAAAATTTACTTCTTACTTTATTCAAGATCTGAATTAATTGAAGCAAAAAAAATTATTGATTCAATGGCCAACTATTCAGTCGTGTAATTCACAGAAGCATTCTTATCAAAATATTGCTTAGTGAAGGTATGGTATTTATTTAAGGTAACTAAACATTTCAACATTTGATTGAAATAGGTGGTGGACCATGATCGAATTGAATGTAACCTCACATATTAACAATGTAGCTTCAAATATGAAATTTCTTCGGTTCCAAAAAATTAATTTATAGTTCGAAAAAAAAAACCAATTGAAATGCAGAATTTTTTTTTTCTCGTTTAACACTAATTAGCAATGTTCTGATATTTGCATCAAATATCATTTCATTTTTTCAGTTCTGAAAACCCACACCTGCACTTCAGAATTAGTTTTCCTTTAAAAGGAAACCTTTAAGGCTTGCATTCAAAATCGTGGAAGGTGTGTAAATGAAAAGTTTTAAGTGCTTGACATATTAAAGCTTAGGACATAAGGTCTTTAAGTTTTGTTTTGTTTTCATCCATCCTGTATAGCGCTAGAACATTCAGTAAAACTGTAAACTGTAAAAAATATTCGTAAAACATAGTTTAAAAGTAAAGCAAAGCAAAGGTTAAATGTTAAATCACTTATTAGAATAGTATGTTTTAGATTCTTTTTGAAGATTGAAATAAAGCAACTTTGTTTGATAGATAGGGACAGTTTATTCCATTCACGAGGGGAAGCGAAACAGCTCTTTCTCGTATTGGTTTTCTTGGTTGTTAGTTGTAGTAGGTTTGGTGATCTGAGGGAGCGTTTAGGAATATATAGCTGTATTAAATCTTTAAGGTAAGATTTAGAATTAGGGTCGTTGAGGCAGTTGTTAGTGAGGGTGTTGATTTTAAAACAAATTCGATAGTTGATAAGTATCCAGTGAAGATCTGCAAGACTGGGGGTTAAATGTTCTCTGATATTAGTTATTGTGACGATTCGGGCTGCTTATTTTAGATTGACTGAAGTTGGTGTATAAGGTATGATTTTAAGCCGAATAACAGTGAATCTGAATACTCAGATGTGACGAAAGCATTAATTAACATTTTGGTAGTCTTGGTGTCTAGAACGTTTCTGGTTCTGCCAATTCGATACAGGTGGAAGTTGGCTTTCTTGCATACAGCAGAAACATGATTTTTTATTTTCAATACTTCGTTTAGTAACACCCCAAGATTTCTAACACAATTGGGGGTTTCTATTTGTGTGTTCCCAACCAATACAGAGTTGCCCATAAGAAGCTAAAAGTTAAAAAGTACATGCCAAAATCCATTACAATAATCCAATTGAAAAACAGTTTAAAACAAGAATACTTTTTCATCCACCAAACAAACCAGGGCTATCCTTAGTATCTTAGCCATACTCTGCATTATTTAGAGAGCACTTGAAACACAGCTGCCACAGAGGCGACTCAACAAATACTAAACAATTAATCACAGTAGAGTATTAATCTATTATACGTTATTAACAATATCACGATGTCTATGGTAATTTTATTTACGAGAAGGTCAATAAAATCTGGAAGTTGCTTCAGTCTACATTGGCGCAGTACTGAACCCATCATTGGATTTTGAAAAGTGTTATGAATAGCTCAAATTGATTTGCTTAATTTCCATGCAAATTCCAAACACTGATTTTTCTTTTGCATCAAAAGGGTTAGAAGAAGCCAACGTACAACCTGTACCAAATCTATTATCTCTTTTATGGGGTCTCGCGCTATAACGTCCGTTATGATGATTCCATGGTCAAATTGAGATAAGGAAAATGAAATGAAATTAATTTTTACATTAACTTGGGAGCGGGAATATGAAATGGAGTTTTACGACACTTTTTGAACAGGAAAATGAAGTGAAATTGAGTTTGATGTCTACTTGTCATCAGGATTGTATATATAAATAAGCATCGGTATTATGCGTATGGAATTTGATGATAAATTATTGTTTTTATTTTCAGGTACTACGTGATTTAATCTTACCGTGCTTCTGAAAATTTGAAACATTGGATCCTTCTCATTTGGCAGATCTTTTTGGTTCATGAACCTCTTTTTTGGATCATCCATACTCGTTGGTTACTTGTTCTGTTGGAATAATGTTAATAATAAATTCCATTTCAAAGCCGATATTTGAGGACCTTAGAAGCAAATGATTCATCAATAAGTGTAATCTATATGCTGGGATAACAATAAATAATTTCATTCATAATTTTTTCAGTACGTATATGTGGATGTTTGATCAATTGGCCAACTTGACAACTTAAAAATGATCGCCAAATACCGTGCATTTATAATAGCGATTTTATGCGTCAAGGTACTTCTAATCTCTGTTTGGCTATTTTCAAAGAATGGTATAATGATCACACCATATTCAACAAATATTTCAAGTTTAAACCACCAGCTTTATTCACCTCGTTCAAAAATTCGTGCAAAATCTAGTCTGGATTCTTATTTTGTGTATACCAAAGGTTGTGTTATTCCTAGAAGAGACGCTTTTGATGCTTCTGTTTTAAAATATTACTCAAAACCAAGGTCTATACGAAACTGCCACGCTAATGTACCATTGACCTCACAAGACGGTACGATGCTTTATCTGGACAATAGGACGATATCCTACTGTGAGCGCCAAAATATTTACCGAAAACCAAACAGCGATTTCGGATACCTTGAAAAGGACAAACAAAAATTTACGGACAGTGTTAACATTTCGTCTAAATACATTCGTGTAACTTGTTATGATAAATCGGGTAAAGAAAGCTACACAAATTATCATCATTTCATTCAAAGAAACGAATCACGTCTGTTGGAATTGGACCGAAGATTAAAGGAGCATATTACAGCCAATAAGCCTGCAGAAATTATGAACGTCATGATGGTTATGATTGATTCAACTTCAAGATTAAACCATATTCGACACATGCCGAAAACACGTCAGTTTCTGCTCAAAAATATGTCGGCAGTCGATTTCGAGGGTTACAATAAAATTGCAGATAATACGTTACCTAACCTTGTGGGCATTTTAACCGGTAACTATTTGAACGAAGAATTAACTATTCGTAAAACACAGAGGCATGGTCCATTTGATAAATTTAATCTTATATGGAAACATTTCTCGGCAAAAGGCTACACAACAATGTTTTCTGAAGATTTTCCAACTATAGCTACCTTTGTCTATCTATCACAAGGTTTTCTAAAACAACCGTGTGACCACAGCAATCGACCTTTAGCATTAGCAATGAACTCACATTGGTTATGGTCAAAATGTCTTGGGAACAAATCAGAGACGGAATTGCTTTTGGATTCCACGTATAATTTTGTCAAAACCTACAGAAACAGGCCTTACTTTTCTCTAACGACGATTTCTAGATTAACGCACGATTATCTAAATCACCTCGCAAACGGAGACGATCACTATTTGGATTTTTTCACACGACTTCATAAAGAGAATTTGCTGAATAACACAGTAGTTGTGTTTTTTTCTGACCACGGACATCGATTAAGTAGCATCGTACATTCCGAAATCGGACAATTTGAATCACGAATGCCCATGATGTACTTAATGTTTCCTGCGTGGTTTAGTGAAAAGTACCCTGCAATCTACCAAAATCTTTTAGACAACAGAAATAAATTTACAACCAATTTTGATATTCACAAAACTTTGAAAGATATTTTAAATTTTAAAGGTCAACCTCGTTTAAAGGTTGACGTGAAATTAAGAGGTCAAAGTTTATTTGACCCAATCTCAGGGGATCGCTCTTGTCAAACGGCAAACTTAAGTATGCATTGGTGCGTTTGCAAAATGGACGAAATAATACCACGGGACGAATCACTCGTCAAGGCAAGTGTGGAGTTTACAATGCGAGAAATAAACAAAGAAATTCAAAATTATACCATGTGCATGCCCAGGACTTTACGAAACGTCACGTCCTTTAAACGAATGAAATATACAAATCAAGTTAATTTGACCGTCACTGTTATAAAATTATCCATCGATTCTAACCCAGAATCGGCTTTATTTCACACAACATTAAAGTATAACGAGATAACGAAGCAATTTCAGGTAGTAGATTCTATTTCGCGGACCAATAAGTACAAGCATACAGCAGACTGTGTTAAATTGAAGCACCTAAGAAACTATTGCTATTGTAAAAACCAAACTAGTATTTTGCAATGATGAAGTAATCAGTTTGCCTCCCACTTCAAAGTAATAGATTTGAAAATGCCAAAGATCAGAGAGGATAAAAGGTTAAAAGCTACCCACTCAGTTTGTCCTCTCTGTAGAACAACCCAATTCCCGTTGTTACAAAATTATAAGCGACTGCTAAAATATGTTGCCAGATTGCATGTTCGCTAACCAAGAGATCTGTTGATGAATCCGAGCAGAATGCGTGATAGTAACTTCGAATTTCAACGCCATTTTTCTTTTTACATGATGAAATGTGTATAATTAAATGAAATTATGTGTGCCTGTACTGAAGCGTCTCTATGAAAGGTAGAGGTGCAGAGTACCGCTGCAGAAGTGCCAAGAGATCGCTTGATAAGAAATTCAGGATGTGGGTAATGCCAATTTTATTTTAGAGGAGGGGGGGGGGGGGCATAAAAAGCCGAGCTTAACATTCCCAGAGGTTCCATTTAATGGATATAGGCATTGGTTCTGTCAAGCCAGGTCAAACAACGCCTTGATTACGCCATGATACCTAAATATATTTGGTAAAGAAATAATTTTATGGATTTTTTCAACACAATTGTGCAAATTACTTGCTTTCTGTTATTGTAACACAATTTTCACATCTTCTAGAACAGTGCTTTTCAACCTAAGTGAGTTCATTCCTCCTAGGAAGAATTCTTCCAAATATAATCCTCAGGAAAACGTCAGTCGTAGATCACCTCCTCGAGTTATCTAAAACGAACCACGTGAGTACATCATTAACTCACGTGGTAGCAAGTAGATTCCTCCCCATTTACACCCCTGACAATAATTCTTCCTCATGGTCCGCGAATTCCCCCCTGTATATGGATCTTGACCGAAGCTTAAAATGTCCCAACCATGGAGTATTATAACCATGAACTAGATATTGGGCTTTTCCGCTTGATTGTGAAAGAAATGTAGTTGAGGACAGATGACTATGGACAATACCAACAATTCCTTGTATACTTTCGCTCACCTTCGCAACCACCATCACAAAAATAAAACATTCATGGATAGCTACAGAAAACGGCAGTTATCTGTGGTCAATAAACCATTCATCGGTGTTCTTTAAGAACTGACAACCGTCCTAACATGACTTATAAAAGGCCAGTAACTCTAGTAAATCTAGTAAATTCTAGTAAAACCAGTCTTACAAACCCTGCTATTGCGGCTTGTAATCATTGAATATTGAATTGTGATGAAAAGTTAATGATGTCTATACTTTTATATATATCGGAAAAAAAATTGTGTTCTTCCTGTGTTTTTAAATTCTCAAAAACATCGTATCATTTGGTAGCATCTGTCAAAGCATCAAAGTATTCACTTCCAATTTTGGAGTTCACCATGGATATATTTTGAGCCCGATTCTTTTCATTTTTTTTATACAAATCCATTTTAAGAATAACGTGCCGGCATTCCTTATCTTCATTTTTGTATGAATGGATAATTCATAATATGTTTGAATAAAAATGGTCCATAGCTCAAGGCTGGACCAACTAACGCAGCGAAAATACCATTGGATAATATGAAAATATTTTCCCTTTTCAGTAATGTATAGCAAGCATTGTCACCTTATCTTTTGAGTGAAAAACCATTCTCTAAAATTTGGTTGTAAAATATGATTTTCAAATCTTTCTGTTACAGTGACATGATAAATAAAATTGCAATTTGATGAGGGATTAGAGATTTTGCTTCAATCAGCAAAGCATTAAAAATTAGTGCAACTAGTTTTGGGATGCGGCATCGCCAGCGAGATACTTCACTTCTCGAACACTGATATCAGAAACCTACAAAAAAAATTAAAAAGTTTGACAGTTAATTTCAATCTAGCAAGTTATACATTCATGCAACCGAGCACAAAATCGAACGATCTTTGTCAAATTCGGGAAAATCGACCTATGCTGCAACACTCAACTTCATAAAATAATGGAGGATAATCCATCTAACATTATAGTATTCTGTCGTATGAGGATCGCTGAGACAGAATTATGTGTTGTCTGAAGTTTCGGGAGAACACAACTATGTTCTCCCTTCATCAAGAATAGGTTTATTCCGGATGCTTTAATTCTACCTAAAAAAAATTACGCCCCAGTTCCATAAATCACAAACGTTTCATAAGGCAATCTGACCTCGGCCGGTACAAGAGGTAAACCTCGAGCCCGACTTTGATAACTGTTAACACATGAAGATACATGTTGCAAACAGTGCACTTAATAAATTATTTTACTAATGGGAAATCAAAAAATTTATGCCTCGTTACGTAATCTGTCACCAAATGTCACAATGTGTAAAACGATATTCCCAATTGCATTAAATATCGATTGGTACAATTTAAATAGTGACACATATACACATTGCTTTCATCGTCATTTTAAGTCGATTAGTGAGCTAGAACATGAAATCAAAATTGCGGCTGATGTATACATAGTAAATAAAATGATCAATAGGAATTCACCGCAGAGAAATTTTACGTAGATATGTTAAACGTGTAACGGAATACAAGTCTTAGGGGCTGTTTGCTTTTGATCCGTCATAGGAATGTTGCACATCAGGGCTAATCCATAATCAACACATTTAGTCACACCCAAGGTCATTCTGGTTGAGGCTTAAGGCTCCAAACTACGCATATCATTATGAACAGAACCAATACATGCATGTCAAGTGCGGTTGGGACAATAAACAGTGTGCTACAGAATGAACACGTAAAATCACTCGAGACATCAAACTCGAAAAGAGCTTCATCCTGCGCAATGAAGGCTTTGTCCTTCTTTAATAGATCAAACATAGGCAGAAAGGTCGGCAAACGCATTTCCCCCTTGCCCTATTTCATATCACACATCTTGTTCACTCACATAACAGGAAATACGTACAATACATTGCATACACCAGAAACAGAAAGGTCGAAAGTAAGGACGTGAAAGACCATTTAATTTCCTCGTCAAATGACTGAGTACATGCAGATCTTGTAAGATTTACCTGTGTGTGTGTGTGTGACTCATTAACGGTAAAATATCGATTTACTCTTTTCTTATACATTTTATCATAATAGCTGCTTTGTTGTAACGTTACACGATTTTAAAATGAGTTTTAAACTTACACTGACTGATATATGACTCATTTTCTTGTCGCTTTGGTTTATCAAAAAATTACCGATGATTCAAGGGCGTCAAAAATCCCACTCGAATTAATTTGACTGACCCATAACTCTATAAATTATATCCATTAAAAACATTAATTCGCAATGGCATATAGGTAACTTTGGGTATGGTTTGCCTACATTGCATCTGTTCTTGTTTCTATTTACATGTAACTAAATAAAAGAAAATGCCCTTGTTTAAATGGCATTAACATTATTCCCATATGGTGTTTCGTTGATAAATTCATGTTTATGAATGTGCATGAAAGCAGAACACATTTGGTCATAATTAAAGTCCTTCTTGAAGTCCATTAATACAGTTTCGCTGAACGCTACTACCACTTGTCCTTTAAAGATGTGGAAAAAAAATTCAAACTTACAATACAACAGAAAAGAATATTGGAAACATCAAACGATGTTTAAAATGTTCCTGATAGTCTGTAGTATCTGATGTTCTTATTGATAAAACAATTACTCATCAATAACATGTCGACAGAATGCTACCAGGCATCAGTTAACTTAAAAATAGACTTGTCCAGATTTCATAAGTGTGTTCTTTTCGAAGTGTTTGCCATGGAGATGATGTCGCAGGCAGATTCCGTATCGTTTTTGATGATTATAATTTCGTCAGATGCACTTAATTGTTTCGGTGGGTTTCGCTGTTGATGGGCTTGTTGAACCTTCCGGAAAACATCTTGGAGAAACCTTCGGCATCCTATTCGAATATCAAGTATTCAAGTTGATTTTGAGTCAACATAGCCAAAATAATCGATATAACCTCAATATGCCAGGGCTTTCCAGCTTGATTTTTTCTTTCTTTTACCTCTACCAGGTTCATTGATCGGTTGCATTGCCCTCTTTTTTATCCATCCTTGCTTATTCGTCACATTCTCTAGGGTTTTTTTTCCTTTTTTCATGTTGGAGAAACTCTTTTTGTGACAGAAATTCAAATATCGCACAGTATCTACAATTCTTTTGCCGTTCTGCTGCTAAACTGTATTGTTTATTTATTTTGTTAGATGCCTTGCGTAATAAAAATGACATAATATATGTTAGAAAAGATGTAACTTATGTTTTCAAAGAAAACTGTCAGTTAACAGATATCAACAACTGGAATAGCAACATTTTCCTCCAGGCTGAACGAAAACAAGATATCAATTCTAAGGAATACATTAGCAATAACATTCTAGTTACTTGATGAAAAGCTTAAACTAACAGATCCAATGATGACGTAATTGTGTTTATTCACGAGATTTCACACCTCATGGTTCCTTTCAGTTGGCAGTTATGAGCATTAACCTTTAATGAAAATGAAGCCGTTATTGAAATAAATGCAAGAAAGATTCAATTATATCAACCCTTTAAACGACATTGGTTATGCGGATTCTACGAATGTGGAGGCCAGGTTGACAGATTGAATCCAGGATGGAAGCATATTCTTCTGGAAATGAGCATTTTGTGATGGAGCACTAACCTTTAATGAAGTCAAGCCGTTATTGAAATAAATGTAAGAAAGATTCAATTATGTCAACCTTTTAAACGACATCGGTTATGCGGATTCTACGAATGTGGAGGCCAAGTTGACAGATTGAATCCAGGATGGTAGCATATTCTTCTGGAAATGAGCATTTTGTGATGGAACACTAACCTTTAATGAAGTCAAGCCGTTATTGAAATAAATGTAAGAAAGATTCAATTATGTCAACCCTTTAAACGTCAGTGGCTATTCGGATTCTACGAATGTGGAGTCCATGTTGACAAGTCGAATCGCAGAAGGGAAGCATGTACATTCTTGAAGTGAACATTTTGTACGTGTGCTAAACAAATAACAATAGTGTTCACTTTCGAT